CTTGTTTCTGCTAGTCATCTATGCCCTCTCTGTAGTGTGGAGACAGGAGGGCAGCCCTAGAAGGGGGCTTGTTCTGGCTATCTTAGATACTCATCTCAGCATGGGATGAGTTGGGATGGAGGCATTTAAAGAGGGCACACAACTAGTTCAGAAGAGACTGCTATGTTTTCAATGGCTGAGGCTATTTAAGATGAATACCCTCATTTTTAAGATCTACATTGTATCTGTGTAAAAATTTTCTGGTCAAAGTAATTTGAACCCTTGTGATAGTAATTATTTTTAAAATGTCAGGAAGCTGTTGCAGGAGTCCTAGGAGGTGACTAAACATATGTCATTTTTCCTTAACGTGGATACAGATTTGTATTTAGAGAGACACCATTTTCTCAGAAGATGCTTTACCTGGAGACCACTTCAGTTCAACACAGTACTCTGCTTCTGAAATTCAGTACAGAGGAATGAGAAGTTCACCTCATAGCTGACAAATAATGTTCTTACTCCAATTTGTTGAAAAAGGACAGATGAAATCTCTGGTTTTTGTACTAACAATTGATGTTTAGGAAAAGCTGTAAACTGTTCAAGCCTCTGGCAAAACACGGCAAACATCTGTTGTAAACAAAAAATCTTTGGTAGAATTCTAGATGCTGCAGTCTAGCCTGAAGACACCCTCCAATGCAGAAAAGTTTCTAAACAGCTGGACTATTGTGTAATTGAAGACCTGTGACTGTTTCCTGGAGAAAGGGAAGACAAAGAAGGAATTCGGCTCAGGGAACAGCCAAAATAATCACGCATGTTTTTGCTAACAACAACCAAATGTATATCTAGAACTGCTTGGTAACAAAAACTATTAAAATGCTTCCATATATATTTTTTTCTATACAGGAGAGGAATTGCTATTGACTACAGAACATCAATAAAGACATTACCTATAACACAGAATATTAATTTTATCAATAAGCATTTATTTTAACTAGTGAAATCTTACTTCTGTCAGATGGACAAAATTGAGTTTAAAATTGGATTTAATTAATGGCTGTGGGGTAAAAAAAGTGCTTCCATTGTGATTTCTCAAGTACCAGAACAGGAAAACACCTTGCAAATGGCTGGACAAAGAAAATAAACTATTTAATTTTAGTATATTTTTCTTTCAACAAAGAAAGGATTTGTATATGGGAATATTCTAGGAAAAATATACCTCAGTTACCATTTGCTGATGTCTATAAAGTCAAGTTATTACCAAATCTTATCAAATTCTAAGTTACATTATTCTAGAAGTATGAAATGAGTTTGTAGTCTGTGAATAAATAGCCATGTGGCTGTTAACTCATGTCAGCCTTTGCTTTAGGGTTAGGTTCTTTGTGATAGGAGAGAAGTTTTTCAGATTTTCAACTCCCCAAGATATGTTTTTTTTTCCCCTAAAGCTACATTCTCAGCTTGTTGGTGTGGAACTGTTGTTTTCATATTGTTAATGTTAGACTTCTTATCCTCTGCTACATTGTTACCTTTGTTCTCGTTAATGGACCTCAGTCAACAAGGAAGAATTCACTTTCCTTCCTACAGTCAGAGTCACAGAATACCTGGGGTTTGACACTGCTTCTTTACATCAGCCAGTCCAACCAAGATCAGCTACAGCAGGTTGCTCAGGACTCTGTCCAGTTGGCTTTTGAGTATCTCTAAAATTGGGGATTCTGTAACCTCTCTGGGAAACCTGTCTTAATGTTTTACCACCTTCACAGTAAAAAAAAAGTTTTCTTGTGTTCAGATGGAAATTACAGGCTTTAAATTTGTGCCCTTTGCCTCTTGTCCTGTTTATCTCTTTCTTTGTATTAAAGCAAAAAGTCTGAAACAAGATTTTCATTGTACAATATTTGTTCTGGTACTGACTTTATCTGGATAACAGCTGCACTAAACAATCAAATGCCTTCAGCCTAGTTAAATCTAGCTCTTCAGAAGCATTAGGTTAGTCTAATTTTATAATAATGTGACTATCAACACAAATATTCAGGTGAAATCTTGTGGGGAAGATTGTGTGTTTATTCAGACATATGGTAAAGGTGTCTGTTCCTTTAACTTCCAGTAGCAGCTAGAAATATGAGTTATGGACTTTCTGGTATTCAGCCTTGACCAGTCACTTGTATGTCATAAGGAAAACCTTTTACAAGATTCTTTTTTCAAAGATATTTATAGCTAGCAAAAATTTTAAAAACTGTTATAAAAGTATTTTTATTCCTCAGTTACCATTATATTTTATACATTCTAGGAGTTCTGATATTTGAAGTCTTTTAAAAAGTACAGAGCCAGCATGATCAGGGAAAACTGCTGAGTTTCATCTTGGCTCAAACATAATCATAAGAGTTTCTAGCTACATGTGACTGAAAACTGTTATTCCTGGAGAAATGGTGGAAACCTTAAATAATCCAGCTCAGTTGCTGAATTTAAGATACAATTTGTGAGACTCAACTGAAATGAACTACTTCTGTTTTTGTAAAACCTAGAATGGATGACAGACAGCAAACTGTACCATCACTAGGATATGGAGTATCTGCCATTCTGTAGTAAAGCTGGACGTTTCCTTTTTCAAAATTTTTGCCCATGTCTACTAAAGCCCTGCTTTTCAGTTCCCAATCATTTTGTTGAAACAGAAACCATTATTCTTATAGAGGGCCAAATGGTTTGTGCGTTACCCTGTTTATCACACACATTGCCTGCTGTCATATTTAATGTCCTTCTACAGAAGCTGGCTTAAAATCAATGGATAAACAATTCATTAAGATACTGGAAAATCAGCTGCAAATTATCTCTGTGGCCTGGATTACAGCTGCCCCTCTCCTTTGTTTCTCTACATGACCCATGCTTTGTTTTATCTTTTTAATGACAGTAAAATCCTGTGTTTTATGTTTCTCATGTAGTTCCATGAGTTTGGGGGAGGGATGCTGTCAAGTCAGGAAAACACGCTGTTAATTCTGTTGCTTTTTTCTGAAACCATTTTGATTTAAAGACAGGTTGTGCAAGCTCTTTAGATAAGTATCTTTGATTGAATGAACTGGCATAATTGGAAAAATTAGATAGTTTTCAGTCACACACACATTAATGTGTAGTAACAAGTTGGCAGGGCAGGTAAAAGCAGCAACTAAAACCAAATTGCAAATAAGTCCTCAGAGCTTAGTTAGATAAGTACTTGGTACAAAAGTCCATTGGCATCTTAGAGTCTTATATATGCGCTTTCAGAAAAGTGCATCAAGTGGCCTCACAACAAGTATACAGGTGAAATTCCAGAACCAGTGCTCCAAAATGCACTTGCACAGATCATCATTAAAGGATCAAAATACCTGGCTCCCTGTAGGTGAATACTTCTCATAGAAGATCTCTAATATGACCTCTCAATACTGATCATTAAGCAAAACACCTTCCACTTTAGGAGAATATATATTAATAACTCTGCTGGTTACCAAAAATTAAAAACTGAGCCCCAGTGGAATGGTTAGAGAATGCACAACAGTCACTCTTTTTTTAAAGTGTCCTCTCCATTATTTTTCTGCACTGAGTGAATCATGAAGAGGCTTTTACTTCAGTAACATCTAATGAGCAGAGGTCATAAATTCAGTAAAAGCGCCATCAAAGTACCGCAAGAAAAGCTTGAGAAATAGCAGTGACTAAGAACTATTCCCAGCATAGCAAATTTTAATGTTACTTTACTCTGGTTTCTGGTTTTATTCAACCTCTCAGTTCTTAAAGCCTAATTCCTATACAAAAACCATGTTCCGATATCTTCAGCTCGTCATTCTGGGTGCTTCACTTGCAGGCACTTCTCTGGAATGCAAATCTCAGAGTTCTGATGATCAAGCCTTGAAAATCAGAGCTTTTAATAAGGCTATTTAGGATCGTCTTTTTTTAAAAATAAAAAATGTTGCATTAAAATCTATGAACCAAAAATTCATTTGAAGAAGAATGATTTCTCTCCCAATCATTAGGAGAAAGGAGGGAAAGGGAGCTCGTGTCTCAGCTGGTTTGTTCTGGCAAGTTTTTTGAAAGGCACTTGCATATCATGAAGAGAGTTCCTGAGCTGAGATGAAAACTGGTTTTGTAGTATGACTCTTTTAAATGATACAAAGCTCTCCAAGAGGGGCTGTTAGCTTTCAGATTTCTGTGCTTGTGCTCAAGCTAAAGAGTAATTTGACATGGACCAAAATAACTTCATGGTTCAGACTTCAGCCTTGTTTTTCCCTGACTTTTATGTTGGCAACTTGAAACTACATTCTTACTTACGTCCAGAATCTTCTTACAAACCCACAAAAGCCCCATCAATGTTTGATTTAGATCACTGAAATATGATTTGAGAGGCACAGATATTTGTTAAGCTGCATACTGAAAGAGTATTCTAGAGGAATCTCATGATGTTCTTGGACTCTTTCCTGGCATGTTGCTTTTAGCTACTGGATGTTGGGTTAGACAGACCTTTGGATTGACCCAGACTGGTCATTCTCATACTTTTCTGTTCTTAGAGATAGTTATTAAATATCAACATCTTTCTCTAATGCAACAGGTGATTTAATAAATAAATAATCCCTCATGAGATCTCTTGCTTTAAACTCCTCAAATGTCAGAAGATTCCAATCCAAACTTAAGATTCTAAATACATGGCCAGATTGTAAATAGGTATTTAAGGTTACATCAGTGCAAGGTAGTAAGACTGTATTTGACAACATGTGCTCATTTATTAACAATTTAGCAGAATTTAGTGGTGAGAATTTAATAAGAAGTTGAGACTCAGGGTCTGTCAAGGGCTGGAGTGCAGTAATAGATCTTAATTGCCCTGATCAGCCTCACCTGACACCTTCATGCCCCTCCTCTACCCATGGGGCCAAGGGCTGTATTTAAGCTTAGGCTTGGCCCTGCACTACTTTCCTGAGCCTATCCCAGCTATGCCTGCACCATGGGCATCACTGATCTGCCCCAGGTACTGTCACTGACCCTGACCTGCTGCCTTTTGCCCCCAGCTTTGTCTCAGACCTACCTCGCTGGCATGGACTTGCCTGATAGCCCAGACTCTCAGCTGATCCTGACTGCCATCCCTGGGTCTGCCTGTCTCAGCTCACTCATACGCCGTGGGATGGTGCTCTGGCTGGTGAGTCTCCTGGTTTATTATTGTTTTCTGCTTCCTGGCTCCTATACAGCAGCTGGCCTTTGCTGTTCCCTTACATAGGCAAACACTCATGCCCTAATTAAAAGTTCTTGCTTTCGTTATTCTTAGTTTAATTTTTGTTTGTTTGCTTTAGTGTTTGAACACTGGGCTATTTGATCATCTTAAAACATCCCCAGGAAAAAGAACTGCTACACTTTCTGCCACACAGGTGTTGAACTGGTGTTGCAGTGAAACCAACTTCTTGACTTGTTAAACTGTCAAGAAGTTCCTCTGGAGAATGAGGTTCTGTGGTGTTCAAATCAGCACAGCAAATAGAAAAAAACCTCCGTTGTTTTCCCACTGTAAAGCAGCTCTGGAGGGCTTGTCCAGAAACTGGAGTCTGTCAGGTGACAAGCATTGCGAGGAAGGAACATGCTCTGGAAACTCTTTCTGTGGCAGAATCTTCCTTGGGCAATTTATGCTAGCTTGTTGTTGCGTTGTTATGGGGAGTTCAGATCCTTGAGCGATAAGAGCTGAGTTAGTAGGGCCATGTTGATTTATGCTGCGGAGTAGATAAATGAAAAAAAGCATAAAATTGCTTAACTCAGTAAAGGTAATTAGACCTGGAAGTTCATTATATGTTCTGTGGAGTATCTATTTTTGTCCATTGTAAAATGGACTCCTAACAGGTATACCCTTACTTAGATGTGAAAGGTTTACGCTCAGAAAATAGGTTTGAGTTTCTTTGGTATCAAACTTCAGAATGCTGCCAAGAGATTCTTTTTCTATTGTTTTTATTGAGTAACCAGCACGATTGTTGTTGACTTGCTGTCTGCAAGACACTAGAACACACTGAGATCCCGCAGTGGGTTGCTGATGGTAACTAGTTCTGATTGCTGCACAAAGACTTTTCTCTGCCAACTGCAAAATAAACAGCCCTGTCCTCTCACTTTAAAAGAAATACAAGAAAGTAATTCTACCACAAGCCAATAAATTAGAAAACAGTAAGACTGAGTAGACTGTTAAGTATGTCCATAGTCAGCAATATAATAGCAACAATTTGTACCGTTTGCATGGCTAGGATTTTTTGAACTTATATTCACTTAATTTGTGGAGATGAAAGTGACTGTATTTCTCATTGCCTCTTTCCCCTGAAAATTACTATAAATAAACACTGAAAAAATGTAACATTTTCACTTCTCGTGTCAAAGGCAGCAGCAATGCATTTGTTGGGTAAGATATTCTTTATGCAGTAAGGACAAAGGCTTAACTTTTCGGCTTGGTAAAGTTCTTTAGTTTTATTAAAACAAAACCCTGATCTTCAGTTGACTTTTTATTGTAACCATAATGAACCAATTCATCACCAAAAAATTAAGCAGAGTATATTTGTTAAGGAAATTCATGACACTACCAGAGAATAGAAGCTCACCATGTTTTCATTACTCATGCCTAGAAATATTAGGCATGTTTAAAGCATTATACCAGCACAGAATAAAAAGTCTTTGCTCCAAAGAGCTTGTTATCAAAGTATAGGGAGACAAGAAATGGAAGCACACTGGCAGGAAAGCAGCAGGTAAAAATAAGACACTACAGGTCAGTGCTAACAATACAGCCAGCAGGCTGTGTGCCTCCAGCCTTGCTATTGCCAGTGGCTCTTGTTGCCACTGCCAGCAACATGAGGAACTGCATGAAGACAAGCAAATCATGCATGTTGGGAACTGTGTTCAGTGAATGATGGAAATGAGCATCACGGGCTGACAGGATGTGAGAGCTGGCAAGCCAATGCTGTCTTAAAGATGATAGGCAAGCTGGAGATAGATAATCCATCAAGGCCCCTGGAAGTAAAGACCAGCAATATGTATCTGATTTAATAGAAAAGGGAGAGTCAAAGGGGATGCATAGCAACAACAGTCAAAGCGCTGGACTAGGAGAGGACAGGGTCAAGAGGAAAAGGGCTCAGACTGAGCTGGACATAGCTGCACTGGCACATTTGCATCCTGTCTGCAGCCTTGTGATAATTGGCCTGTACATTCCATTAATTAAGGTCGCAGAAAAAGGATATCATAGCAACTGAAACAGAAGTCAGTGAGGATCCAGAGGAGGCATTTAGCACAGTAGGTATTAATAAAGGCTACACTGTAGAGTTAACCCAAGAAGAATCTTTGTTCATTTAGAGGCCTCATGCAAACACTTAGGAAATCAGAGTCCAAGGCAATGAGAGGCTGGATGAGAGCCCTCGCAGAAGAGTTTATAAAGTCCTAGCAGAAGGGCATATGGCTTTACACTTCTGTACTTTGAGAAACTCTGATAACAGAATTGCGGTGCATTCTCTTGTAGTTTAAGCATTAGGTCTGTTGGATTTTGGACTTTGTGTGAAAGGTTTCAAGTTGCAACAGGCAGAAACCCCTCATAATGTCACTATTGTCAATGGTCATGACAGAATCCTGCCCGAATCTTGAACACTGTAGTAATCTGAGCCAAATCCTGCTTCTGCTGCTCCTGGCAAATTTGTCTGGGGCAGGACACTTGTCACTGAAAGCTCTTACAGACCCAGATGAAATATTCTCTGGTATTTTTAATTTGAACTCACTCTTCAGGCTGTTTTCAGAAACAATTCAAGCAAAAGATTTTGAAAATTCAGTGATGTTAGTGAGTGATCTGTTTCTCCCTCCTCATCCTGCCCAAATTCCTGAAAGCGCTGGGCACAGAGCAGCCTAGAACAGCAAAGAACAGGGCAGTTGTGAGAGCTGTGAGCTGCTGAGACTTAAGCTGCAGCCAGTGATAAAGCTCTCTGCTTATTAGTGCAGGAACACAATTTTCTCCCACCATCGGGCTGGCAATCACATTTTTGACTTTTTTTTTTTTTCAGAATCACCAATGGTATTTCTAGAAAGCATAGGATTTCTTTCACAAGACAGTATGTGCCAGGAAAAAGAGCTGTATAACCACCAGGGCAGTATATATATTATCTATAGATCGTTTTAAGACAATAGTGCTATTATCTAAGGAGAAAGATGGTAATTCTTCAATATCAAATGAGATCACACTTTGTTTACCTCTGGTTATCATGAACTATTATTTCTCAAACCCCAGGGTTTTCGTTTTGATTGCTGTGTGTGGGTACAAATTGCTTGTTATTTTTCCTCTTCCCTTAGTCTTTTCACCAGAGTAATGGCTGTCTCCATTACTGTTCTTTATCTTAGCTATCAAGATATTAATACAGCCCCTCCCAATGATGGGCTCTAGTCACTGAGTTCTTTCTATTCCAGAAGTAACTACCACATAAGCAGATGAGATTAAAAAACAATCAATCAAAAACCAAATGGTACCAATTGTTCTTCCTGTCAGCAGTACAAACTCTGTATTCATGCTGACCCAAACCTGGCACTGCTGTCTGTCACTGGCCACCTCTAATGGCAGTCAGTACTTGACTGGATGAAAATGACTGATAAACAGAATTTCCCTGCAGTTTTTATTTCTCACCCCTTCTCTACCAATAATCTTTTTTTTGAGTCCTGCCCTAGCTGGGAAACACACTATTCTGCTGTATCTCTGCATAAGCAAATCTTTCATCATATCTGCTTCCAGCAAAGATGACAGGGCACCTTGGAGACCACCATGTGCTGATGCCACCTCTCAGCCCACTGCAGACTGAATTTCCTGTGGCACAGACTTGATTTATTATGGGCAAGAGAGTAGCAAAGGAAGTTTCCTTTAAGTTTTGTATCTAATAATTTCCTGAAACATAGGGAAGTTGTTCTCTCTGCAATGATGCAGCAACTTTTCTATTGTTTTTAAAATGTGATTTGTCCCTGCAGTAAACTGCACCAGCACAGCTTTATTTCACACATGTGAGAAGGGCTGGGAAGGTGAGAGCTCTTTTTCGGGAACTGGAAATAGGGAAGCTTCCAACTGAAATTATTTGAGAAGAGTTTGGTTAACCAGAGCTCCCTGGAGAAGAGTAGGGTTTGTATAGAGGTTAAGCCATAGGAGGGAGGGGAGGATGAATCTGAGAGCTCAGTCCACAAAACAAAGTAACAAGCTTTTTTTGGAGGCGCTGCAAATCCAGCTTGGCTGGTCTGGAGAGCTCTGTGAGACTACTTTGTCTTCAGACTCTGTGAGGAATGACAAGAGGGAGAGAGGTGGGTTGACCTTTTCAAGCTATGTGGCCTTGAAGCAAGCCATAAGCCACTAGAGTAAGCTGGAAATACTAGTGGGGAAACTAAGGCAGACCACCTGCTGGATTGTGTCTTGCCATAGAGTGGCAGTCTAATGCCACGTTACAGAGCTAAATTTATACTGATGAAGAGATCACTGAGATAATCTTTTCATCTCAGTGGAAATGACCTTTTCTGGTTTTGGTAAGTCTTAGGAAAAAAATCCTGTGTTTGAATGGACTTTTGTAAGCCATCCTTTCTGGTCTGGCCCTTCTGTACTCGGTCCAGCCCTGGGCTTCTCACTATCCTGCTGTGGGACTAACCAGCTCCACAGCGTTACATGCTTGCTGGCTGCACCCAGTCATTTGTGCTTTTGCTGCTCACTATAGAACTTGTCTACCCTATAAAATTAGAACCACCTATGAGGTGAATTATTTGCTTCTACTGCTAAGCAGAAACCATGTTGATTTGATTTACTGTTTTCCATTTTGTCTATTGATTTTTAGGTAGTCCCAACAGTGTGCTCCCATAAAAGGCCATACAGAACTCTATACTCAAGTTTGACAATTTTATTTACAAAGGGTGTTCTTGCCTACATGTTGCCTTGCCAAGTTACTCCAGGCATGAAGAACTAAATTTAATTTCTACTATGAATAGAACACGAAGAAGATATATATATTACACAATTCTCTCCCTGCTTTGTTATTTGGGGTGCTGAAATTGCAGCACACTGCCTGAGAACAGTTAGGAAGTGGGAGAGTTCCCACCTGGCACATCTTAGCTGTTAAAAGGCAAAAAGAACACAGATGGTTGAAACCAGATTTTTGTAAAAAATGAGCATCCGGTATTCACCTGCATATCTAAGCAGATAAGTTTGTTGCAGGTACCAGTACAAAAGTAGGCCTCCAAAAATGCTTTAGAGAGAAAAGTGTTTTCAGATGTTGCAGCCACTGAGAAGCAATACCACACCTAACTCCCAGGGCTCACAACTATTATACCGGAGGGACTGTGTAAGGAAAGCTGCTATGGACTAACATTTTTCAGTGTGGTATTGCCCCTTGAAAAGCAGATATTGAAAATGGATAGACTTTCAAGCGAAAAATCAGTAATTCCTTCCTCTATCCCATCACTTACAGAAAGAACTAACGTGTTTAGAACACAAGCAGAGCATATTTAGAGGGCAGCATTGTTATCTTCAAGATGCTTTACAGGGTTTCCTGTAAATCCTGTATCATTTCCTCATCATAACAAGGGAAAAAAATCACCCGATTTCCTTGCTTAGTGCATTTCTAATTTGTGGCAACTCAAATACCAGAACTGTATCTGCACTTGAAGAAAAGTGTGAGTCTACCTTTCCCATTACTGAGTAGCCTACACCTCTCTCCTCATACTGGCTTTGAAAACCTAGGTGGTCTTGTGTAAAGTTTCAGGAAGCCCAGATGAATTTTCATATATATGTCTCAGGAACAATGCCATGCTGACCATACCCTTGGTCTTCTAACCCCCCTGGTGTTTCCCAACAGCAGTCTTTATCTTTTAAGCAGCAGGTAAGCTGTTCTTTCAGCCCACTCTGTATTCCTGTAGATGAGCTAAAACCAAATTCCACACAGAGCTCCCAGCCCAAGAAGAGGACACTGTTCCCTTTCACCCATTTTGAAAGAACTCCTATGCTCATTTGGACTTTATTTAAATTTCAACCATGCATTATCTTTCCCTTGTCCTGTTAGATGATTTTCTCAGTTCCATGAAAGGGCCCCAGCGTTCATGGTCTTTCTGCTATTTTTGCGTGTAGTTTATAAAAAGCTATGAACAGAAGCTAATTACCAGTAGCAAACAGTGCAGGTGAAAGTCAGGACTCTAAAACTGGGAAGGATGTTCTCACCATACCTCAGTATGACAGAATTCAGCGAGATGAATTCTGGGTAGGTTTTCTTTTCTGCAGAAGTGATTGGAGGGCAATTCAGACCTTGGCCATAAGCCAGGTAGACTTCTGGAGTGTTTCACACACAAAACTGTGGCAGAAATGTTTGAAAACTTTAGAACAAGCAGGATGGTTTTAGAAAGTACCTGAGGTCATGAGCTGATATGTTTTCTCCATTAATTTTCCCAGGGATACAACACAGGTGAGCTTTGGGTGGAGAATAAATAAGGGAGAGACAGAGGGCAAATCTCCCTCCAGATCTAGCCTTCTGATGACTTTAAGCTTTACCTATGAAGAAAACCAACTATTGCTCAGTAAAATACTTTGAGTTGTTCTCTCTGGTTTACTGCTGCACAAAACCCAGAAGCAAATCTGAGACCAAAAAAAAAGTTTTGTGAATTATTTGCTACTTTATGTCTTTGTCTGACTTCCCAAGCCCTAGGTACACAGAATGTGATGCCTCATCCTTCACACCTTGTGCAGTTCTAGGACATGACTCCTCTCCTTCCATGGAAGCTGAGACCGGACATGACTCCTCTCCTTCCATGGAAGCTGAGCCATCACATATAAAACAGGTCAGCTGAATTGCCTCTAGCTATTGGCGATTATACGGGATCAGACAACTGTATCATATGAGAACTTTTCTGTTGGACATGGTATCTCCTGCCTTTTGAGTAGTAAAATGCAAAGTTTTCTTCCAAAAAGGTCCTGTCCCTCAAAATGTCTAACACTGATTTGTTGCCTCATACCTACAGTGTGCTGCGTGCAAGCACCGTGTATGCAGGAACACAGAGTGATGGATTTGGGCTTCACATCAATGTCTTTTGAAGTTAATGCCACATTAATTAATGCCACATCCACCATTGTCGCGATATTTATGTGTCTGATATCACACATAGAGAAGGGAGGAGCACACCCTAGAAAATGACCATAGAATCTAAGACATTGACGAATTTGAAAATTATCAGGTGATTAGCCACCTCTGAGCTCAGTTCTGCCACAGCTAGTTTAAATCTGACTTGGTTGTGTCTACCTAACACTGCACAGCAGGGATACACAATGAAATCTCATTGCCTTTCACAACAGGTCTGCTAATAATGATTTTTAAGGTCTCATAGTTTGAGAGCCTGTAGAGTCTAAGAAATGTCTACGCTGGTTAACGTTCAATGGCCTGGTGACACAAGGTAAAAGCTACCTTGCTTAAATGACCATCAAGGAAAAGGAACCTGCAGCACTATAGGTGGGTGCTTTTGATATAGAGGCACAGCTTCTGTTCATGCAAAGAAATGTGGTCCCTTTTCCCTCAATTCAAGGTTAGGTACTGTGAGAGCTAATTTAAGGACAGGTTCCTGAAGAAGGGAATCTGCACTAAGCTGAGGGAATACAACTCCC